CAACAAAGAGGGCAGAACGCCTTCTGCTAAGTTTTCCTGTTTTACTCGTTAAAATTAAAAGAAGGGTTATAGACCTGGTTCAGGGTACAGATCTAACTGCACGTTAGACAACCACCAGAGCTGCACTGAAAGAAGAGTGCTATCACTCAGACACACTGCAGATTGGAAAACTAGCTATTGTGCAACCAGGGGATTAAGTCCAGAAAGGCACATGCCTCCCACACATTAGGTAATACGATCCAAAGTGGCCTCTAATGCCTCTGTATCTAATAAGCTATCAAAAAATCAAGCTCCAACTCTGTTTTATATATGAAAGACCACCTACCTCTTTGTTCTTGCTTCTGGCTTCCTACGGAACTGATGTGGTCTGATTATGGCTGAAGACAGAATGTGCTACTGGATATATTTTGTAAACATGGAGGAAACAACCAATGTGGCTTCTTTGCCCCCAGTAGCCCTTGGCACATCTTGGAATTTGTTTGACACTCAATGAGATGAACCTAATTTTACCTCAATAACTCCAACTCTCTCATAAGATGCCGAGTAGGCAAACTGCAGACTTTAGGACAAATACATCATGCACATCTTTTTCAATCTCATTCCTTCTGAGTTTCCCATACAACTTCGAACTAGAGGAAGACTTATGGAGAACTCAAATATCTGCTCAAACTTTATGATTTTTTGGTTGGTCCTAATGGGAGTGCTTTTAAGTTGTCACTTTTGGATCATTTCTACTTTGAAACAAGCACTTAAAACAATGGATGGAATGGATACAGTTCCATTGATTTTTTTTTTTCTTCCCCATCCTTCCATGCCTATCTTAAAAGGAACCATTTTCTCCCTGCTCTTTCTCTGGGATCCTTAATTGTCTATCCTCTGGTTTCTCCACACTTTTTAATACAAACTGTTCTTGGTTTGTATTGTCCTGAAAATTACTCCAACTATATATTTGGATTGTATTTCCCCAGTACTTCTGACATATTTTTTCCATTTTTTCTAATCTAGCCTTCTAATAAAATATGGGTTACAAAGACTAATGTTTCAGAAGAATTCTCTTGAGAGGAGGCTCAACTGTGCAAGCATAACAGACCTTGAATAACTCCATTAGTAATGTACAAATCTATAGAAGCATGCTTTTGTGCAACCAAGAAAAAATGAAGGGAAAAGCAAAGCAATTGACAGCAACAAACATAGTGAAAAATGGGCATATTCAAAGCAGAAGGACAAGAAAATGACCTTACAAAGCCTCGATTAGCTTTACTCATAGCCAGTGTGCTACAAAGGAAAGACTGACATATTAACACCAAGAGGGGAGATCAGTTCAAGCCTTTGCTCATTGGGGCATCTTAGTTTCTGCTCAGTTTAGAATCAGAGATTATTCATTTTTTAAATTATATTCCTCCAGAGGTGTTAGAGAAGCAAGATTCTCATAAGATGCTAATTTTGTAAGGTACCTGAATGAAAGAACAAATATGAGTGGTCCAAGATCACCCTAGAGAACTTCATGGCTGTGGGAATTTAGGTCAATTTCCATGGTTGCTGCTCAACCCTTTAGCCACATTACCACATAGGTTCTTTATTTCAGCGTGTCCAAGGAACAGCAATTACCAAACAGATAAATGTGTAAACTGCAAGACCAGGAAGGTTCTATCTCAGAATCAACTCAATTTTGCTGTGATACTCAGTGCCACTTTGTAAAATTCATGTTGCATCAATGGTCATGTTTGGCCAGCATTAGTAATATGAGCAAATACTCTTTCTTTCTGCTGCCCAGCGTGTTCAAAAAACCTTAGCACTAGAAAAAAATACATTAGCTGCATCAATACGCACCAATTCCTATGCTGTTGCTATTCACAAAGCCAATCAAGTAGAAGTCTGAACTCCATGCTATGGCATCACACAATGCAATAATCTTGGCTTTTAAGCACAAAAACTAGATATGGGAAATTGCTAGATGAAAGTAAAGCCACTGAGTGCACAGAAAACTAATCTTCCTGTACACATTTTTCCATTTACTATTTGGGGGATCTGGCTTATAATCCATGCTTTCTCCATCTGAAACTGCACTATTCAAAAGTTTATCTTGCCTCTTCACCTACGTTACATTTCTTCCTCTCTTGTCACATGGAGTTTTCACAGCTCAGACAAGAGAAAAAATGTGGAAGAAAATGGGTAGTGGAAAGCAATACAGAAAGTCACATAATAGAAAAGTGGCAGAGGTTAAAGGAAAGTTTGATTTTAGTATTATTAACTTCCTGGTTACCTGATTTAAAAAAAAAAAAAACTGCTGAAAACTATGTGGCCGCTACTGAAACTCTGAAAGATAATTCAAGGTCAATCTTGAAAATAGTAAACAAAACAGGAGTATTTTGCCACAAAAATTCCCCCAAGTCTGCATGCTACAGAAGATGCACACAGACTCCTCAAGGATCATAGCAACAAGCAAGAGGAACACACACATAAACCCCCCACAGCAAATATTTTCCAAGACTGGCAGCTTGGGGAAAGGAGGAAGTTGCTGTTTTTAAACAGGCAGCAGTCTCCATACAGGCTAAGAAAGGCACATGGTGCTTCAACAAGTAGGAAAGCTATAAAAAGCCAGAATTAATCATAAGTTCCAATATTCTTAGCGCACAACATGGCAGATTTCAACACTCCTCTTCCTCCCCCCTTTTCTTTTGGTTAAAACATGGCTAGATTCTCACAACATCATTCTTAACCTGCAACAAGGTTACACAGAGACTGTCATCCCTCTTACACATGCACACACCCCTGATGAAGGCAAATTTTCATTGCTGCTGGGAAAAGTGAGGGGGCATATATTTTGTAACCAGCTGTTCCCACTAGTAAGCTTTATGGCAGAGGAACAAAATCAGGAAACAGACAGGAAATCCTTAGGCACGAACCCTTAGGCATGACAGCTGGTTGGGTGACTTTGGGCCAATCCCTCTCTCTCAGCCCAACTTACCTCACAGGGTTGCTGTTGTGGGGAAAATAGGAGGCAGAAGGAATATTAGGTATGTTTGCTGCCTTGAGGTATTTATAAAAATAATAAAGGCAGGAGAAAAAGAAATCTAAAAACAAAATCAGTTTTGTGAACTATTCTTGATGCTACATTCTCCATGAATCTGGCTTGCTGGCTAAACTGACTGTGAAATCAGGCCCTCTAAATATTACAAATCACTGGACACCTTCTATGCCTCCCCCGGTGGGTAAATTTGGGAGGGGGGAACCAGGGAGATATATTCTCCAGCTCAGGGGATAAAAGTTTAGGGCAAACAACTTGGAGAAAATGGGACTCCAAAAGACCAAAGGCGAGAAACAGCATCCTGCTGATTACGCAAGGGCAAAAGGCCATGAACTAGAAGATTTACAGTGAGCAAAACTGATAAACCTTTCCTGAAGGCGGATTTTAACTAAGCTCAGATTTTAGCTACTTATTGCTTTAATACTGGAGAGCAGAAACACAATTTCAAGCCGCGTGGAACATGTCTGTATCTATAGAATCAGCCAAGCTGAGGATGGCACTTTAGTAATTCAATTTCCCTCCATCTCCATATTTAACCTTTAGATTATAGATACAGAAGGTTTGGGTTGAAAAAAAAAGTCACGATCTGGCCAATTAATTTAACAGAAACACGGAAATTATTCAGACAGGAATGTCTCTGGTTAAACCTGATGCAACCTTTTCTCGGATTTTTCAGCAAACCAAGAGATTTGGTTAAACCACTTCAATTAGTGTAGGCAGCACAAAGAGACAGACAGTGTGGATCCCAGAAGGTTTTCTTTTTGTGGCTTATTGGTAAAGGCACCAAGGGAGGGGGGTCCTTCTTCTGGCAAAATGGGTACCCATTCATGGTTTGTTCTGAGTTGGCCTTATTGGAATGTAACACCATGATTCTTCTGCTTGGAATAGGTTGGAGAAGGAGGTTAAACAAGCTACGTGCTCCCAACTTTGCTTATTCCAGCTGGAAGAAAGCAGATGCCGTGAGCAGATAAGAGGGTGCCCTCAGAACCATCCATCCATAGCTTATTTGCATTTCTGCCTCTTGGGAAAAGTAACTCCTGGGCTTGCTGGCAGCTAAGCCACGGGCTAGGTTTATCTTCTTTATTTATTTATATATATATATCAAATTTGGTCACCGCCCATCTCATTAGGAAGTGATTCTGGGCGGTTTACAGTAAAAAACAAAAATAAATATTAATTAAAATACAATAAAAATACATTAAACCCATATTCAGACATAAATAATAATATCTTCCAAGGCGCTGCTGGTAAAAAAGATATTAACATACAGGAGCGTCTTCAAGGTGTTAGCCAGATCTAGCTGTCTGAATGAGCTCTATAAACTTAATCTGGGTAATGGTTGAAATACACAGACTTAAAGCAAAGAAAAGCAGCATTTATTCCAGGCTGGTCCAATCCAAAGTTTGCTGATTGCCAGTCACTGGGGGCTCCTGCTTCTAGACCTGGTGAGGGGCTCTCGGACCTGAAGCGCATGACCCAAAGCAGGTAGTTGTTCAAGGAAAACCTCCCCTTCACAACTTCAAGGAGGTCCTAAGAATTCCTTCCCTGGTGATACCGTAGCTGCTTTTACAGAAAGTGGCTGGACTGTCCTAAGTAGGAAGCCAGCCCTAACAAGCAAGCATAGGGTGAAATGTGCAGGAACTAAATTCACACACATTATTTGTTCATGCTTCCCTAGAAATATATATCAGAGTCTATCCAGAGGAAGCACCTGAAAATGTGTTATTGACTTCTGTAACCCCAGCACTTCCAACTTTAAAATGGTGCTCCAACCCAACGTCTCATGCCACAAGCAGCCAGCATAACTATCATGCACATTAACACGTAACCCATCTCAGTTGCATCCAGCTGAGTTGTGTGGCTGGGTTGGAAGTTCTTCCATGGCCTTTAACGGAACTGCAGTTGGAACCCACCAGCCCTGGGTTTTAAACAGAGCTGAGATGAGACCAAGCTCCTTCCCCAGCTTTCTTACCTTCGTGCCCGGTGATTCACGTGCGGATGTTGCCGTGTTATAAGGGCACTTTCCCAAACAGGGTCACTGTGGTTACTCCTATACCAGCTTGCCGCCAGATGCCCGGGATAGGTTGGGCCAGTGAAGCCATGGTCCGACTCTGTCTCGGCGGCCAGTGATGAGGCTGAGCTGCCCATGGCTCCCCCCAACCCCGGCTGGGCCAAGATTTACTCTAGGTTAGGTCCAAACTAGCGGCATGAGCTGTCGGCCTGAAAGGATGAAGAGTTGCAGCATGGAGTGGAGCAAAAGATCCAACAACTGGAGAAAGGGAGGCTGGTGCTGATTGAAAAAAGAGAAACAGAAACACAAAACAAGAGGAAAGGGAGAGAAGAGAAACAGAGAAAGAAAGAAGGTATGATTTTCTTTCAAACCAATGAAGTGACATTTCTAAGAGTTTGTCAAAAAAATAAACAAACCAAACTAGGGATGGCATCTATGATCATCAATACCAAGATAGGCTTCATACGGAGCGATTCAGACTTAAATGTGTGCACTGGGGGGAATGGAAACAAATCTTGTCATGAAAGCAGGCATGTGAGAAGGAGGGGGCTCATTGGTTTTTCAATTATAGTCTGGGGAACCCTGTCATTTCTTGGAAACTTGGGAAAGGGAGAAACTTAATCAGAAGATGGGTAATGGCAGATAGCTGAAAGATGGTTTCTTAATAGCTGTTAAAGCTCCCTTAAACTTCATACTGGTTAAGTAAAACACACTTGATTAGCGCAACATTTGAATGGAAAAAGCTTGCTGAAACACCCTTCAGAATCCTTTGCTGTATTTTCTAACGTAGACGTGCTGGAGTTTATCAGCAGGTGAATCAACGGGGAGTCAGTTTCCTGAAGTTTGGGAAACATGGGGGTCTCAGAGAAGGGGTAAGTGTTCTAGCAGCAATTAATGTAGGAAACAAACACAATTATTTCTGCAATATCTTCATAAAACTGAAGACTAACAAAGGGCTTGTTTGTATCACTCAGCCACAAAATAGCTCATGTGAATGGGCTGAAGATAGGAAGGTTGTTTGCTCTTCTTCTCTCATGTATCTGCATATATAGCAGGCTAAAACCTATTTGTTCACCTCTAGCGTACCACACACCTTGCACAGTATATTCAAGAGGCCTAGTCTACCTTTCATCATAGCAAACCAAGCACATCCCTCGGAGGTGATCTAAGTGGAAGAGAAGCCTGGGTCATTTACAATGCTGGAGGCAGGAAACCCCCTGCTGCCCCAGACAGAGAGAGTGCATTTACATGCTGAGCATTCTCTGCTCCACAAAAGCTCTAAAGACTCTAAAGATAAGCTTCTGATTGAAAATTCTGGATCCACTTTAAGAACCCTGAAGAAGTGAAGCTGAATTAAGCTAGAAAAGATGCCACATTCAAATGAACTCAAAGGACCTTCTCAGAAACTCCAGTCTGGGAGTAGATCAGGGAGTCAAGCAAAGGGATGGAGCTGAGTGCTCCTTATCTATATAGATGGGAGCTAGGTACCTCTAGCATGATAACTTTTGATTCTGATTATACAAACAAAATGCCAATTTAGCAAGCCCAAGGAATCTTACATCGTATTCATTAACACAACTGAGGGATCACAATCCATTTAATTGTGCCCCGTAAGAGTTTTCAGCAGGGCTTCTCCAACCAGATGATTGCCTATGATCGTCAACTACTTCTATTAAGTTCAATCTTAGTAACTGAGATTTGGATTCATATATTGCATTAAGCCAGCGTATGTATAGTTTTGGCTTAGTTTATGGCTTAAGGCGGTGTGCAAATTCAGCCAATTATAGCTTATTCAACAAACTACACTTTAGCTCAATGTGTGAACTTTTCATGGAGTAGTTATGACTGCAAACCTATATACCAATCTTTCCCAAACTTGTGCCCTCCAAGCTATGACTGCTTAGGAATTGTGGCAGCTGTAGTCCAACATATCATGAGGACTCCATTTACAGAAAGTTGTGATACACAAATATTTATGTATCACATCTATCAACTGAAAGCTGGCTTCACACAATACCCTAAACCTGGATTAAACAACTGCTGGGATCATGTAAAAATCCTCTCATCAAACAAATAAAGCAGATTATAGCATAACATCATAGCCTGTTTCACACTACACACTAAGACAATCTTTGGGTTTCCAACAACATACTAAAACACAAATTGCCCAATTCCACTTTAGCCAAAAGTAGCATGTCAATGCAAATCAAGCACAGAGACTTAGAAATTAGCAGATATTCTCAGGATTGTGCTGTGAATTCAAGCCACTTAGATGAACTAATGCATACCAAAGGCACAACACTTTAAAAAGAAGGAATATACTTATTGATGACATTGGTGGTATTTAAAAACTGGCTCTTACATCAAAATCCAAACCTATTTTTGAACTTTCACCTTAGCAAGACTGCTCTTCTCTCCCTGTCCTGTAAATTGCTCTGCAGAAGAAAGAGTGAAGATCTATTAATTTAAACATATTGCCAGCCCAAGGCATTTTGCTACTTGATATGGAACACAGCAAGCATCCTCTCCTCCAAGGACCAGCCTTGCCAAAGGTTGTGCTATGCCACTTGGCTTCCAACTACTCCACTGTGCCCAAAGGCGGCTTCATTCTACTGTGTGACAAGGTTGGCCCTAGTCAACCATTGGGTTTGACTCTATGGCAAAGAATACCAAAATGAAAACCACAGATCTTCTTAGGAGGTGACAGAGAAAACCATCTGAAAAACCTTCCTCCGCACTATGCTGCATTGCCCTACGAACACCGTTCCAAAAACAATTCTGAGAAACTTTCACAGCTCCTTTAGTCAAGCAAGCCACCCTGTCTGGTGAAAGGGAAAGAAAAACAACTGGGTATCCTGTAGCTCGGCCAATTCAGTGAAGTGAGGTGCCAGAGGCGTCACAGAGAAGTGACTCCTCCCGCAAAGAGGAAGTCAGGGTACATATTGGAGTTTGCGAGGATGTGAAGAAGAGAAGAAAAAAACAGCTTTAATGCTGCCCAGAAAAGCTCATCTGCTTAGATGAGCACTGGACGCAAGAGGAGAGGATCTATAAATAGACCCAGGATAACCCAAGCTAAGCTGGAAGCCTCAAATACCGTTCACTAATATAAGGCTGCTTTCCAAGCCATGTGTCTGCATAAATCTGTTGCTCCAGATAAAAACATGATGCTTGGAATCCTCCGGGTAGAAGACTATATTGAATCCCTTGTTTTCCAAATGTGAATCAAGGTTAACTTAACTGGGATAGGAAACTAAAAGTTAATTTAACTGTGAACCATAATTACATGTTATGTCCACATCAGCCTACATTCTTTCAGTTACTCTTCTGTATTTATAAAACAGGAACAAGGCAGTTGCCTACTGAACAGAAGACATCTACAGAGAAGTAAGGGCTGTAATGATTTTTTCATAGTACCAGAGCAATAATATTTGGATATTTTCAAGGAACCAGGAATCTACTAACGTTCATCCCTGTGATGTCTTAACTGCAAATTTATCTTGAAATAAAAAACAACAGGTAAAACAAGATAGGCTCTGTGTAATTATATACCTGTCATGCTGCAGTTTGCGTGTTGATTTATTGTTTGCATGGAGCTATGAGTATGAAAGCTTCCAAGGCACAGTTGAGCATTACTCAGTCTTGGACTCAGTGATTTGTGAAGGATGTGGTGAACAGAGAGAGAGGGCCACACAAAGACAGGGGATGATAAAATGACATTTGCTAAATACGTAACAAGCAGTAGAGGGAACTGCAGAAAACTCACTTTAGAAAAACCTGCAATAGGAAGGGTGTGCATGGGGGAGAGGATTAGCTCTTCCCCATATATAAAGAAATAAATCACTGTTAGAGTTAATCTAATTTGGGAGGCCCAATGCTGTAGCAATAACAATGGAAAAAGACAAATGGGGGATTTAACTAATAGAAACAAATAGTTAAGCACCTATTTTCCTTTCTTTTGTGGTTTTAATGCATAATTACTACATTTCAAATGTTACAGTTAATTACGCCTGCAAGAGCATTTTCTAGAGCAAATAAGCTGATCTATTATGAAGCAATTTACTCTTTCCCATTCTCTAAACTATTTCCCTGCCCTCCCCCATAAAAGCACTTACAGAGAGAGGAAATGGAGAAGTTTTCCAGTCCTGTGCAAAAAGCTCTTCCTGGTTCCCCAAAAGCATCCACAACGGAAACGCCCCCGTGGAGCTCTTCTTTGGATCAAGCAGCGACAGCAGCAACCACGATTTGGGTTTGCTACCACAGGTTCAACAATGACAGCTAATACAGTAGAAGCGGTAAGGAAACCCTTGTCTGCCATCCAATCAGAATTAAGCACCTGTGGCAGAAGCACCACTCAGAGTGTAGTTTCCAAGACAAGATGCTCCCAAAGAGAAAGAGGCATTCCTTTTCCACAGGCTGGGCGAGGGAGTGGGACATTTCACAGGTTGAAGGTGACCCATCAGCCAACCTTGCCCAGTCCCTCTAGGGCAATGTTTCTCAACTTTGGCAAATTTTAAGATGCGTGGATTTCAACTCCCAGAATTCCCCAGCCAGCTTGGCTGGGGAATTCTGGGAGCTGAAGTCCACGCATCTTAAAGTGGCCAAGGTTGAGAAACACTGCTCTAGGGCACGAAGTCAGCAAATGCCAGGAGTTGGAGCCTTCATGCAAAAGTCCCAATTCCCCAATGTCAGGCAGAAGGGAACAGGGGAGACCTCCTTCTGCCTTCAATTCTGAGAACCACTTCTAGACTGTCTCACCTAAAGCTGATGTTTGTCAGGTTTCCAGAAGGGATGGCCTGGATCCCAAACAGATTTGAGCATCTACATGCAATAAGCGGAATAGCTAACGCATGATACACTTACAGCATCAGGCAGAAGCTGCATGCTTCAATGCAACATTCAAGGGCAGCCCATATGAAACCAGCAGCTGTGGTAATCAAGCCAAGCTTAGCCAATGGATTGTTTCTTTGCAAATATTTCTACCCTGCTTTAAAGCTTTGAGATCCTTTTAAAAGCAGCTTATAAAAGTGGTTACTCAATACAACCAAGTAGCAGCTTCAGAGACAGAAATAGCACATCATGTATCTGGTACTATTATTCAAGAGGAGATTTCCTGTTCCATCCTTTCCCTGTGACATCCTGAGTAGCTGGGTTCTAAGATTCAATACCTTAAACTCACTCAGTGTATGACAGAAACAAGCTTTGTTTCTTGGAGCAGACAAGCAATCATTCCTAACGGTATTTTCGCTGAGGCAAGAGAATACAACTGAGTTGTATGATGGAAGCAGTTTTTCCTTCCCATTCATTATAATCAGGCAAGGAAGAAGTGCTTAGAGATACCACCACTCCTATTTGAGCTGGTACTTCATCTTTTCAAGGCCAGGGTTGACCTTCTATCACTTA